AGGAAAAGGACCCTGGATATTGTTAGCCGCTCTCACTTTGTTTTTCCCCAGCTGCATTTGCTTGTTTTCGAACTCGTAATGAAATTCTTGAGTAGAAATTCATTTTGCAACTTTTGCTGAAACAATGCTCATTGAATAATTTACGCCCTGCGCCGGCACAAATGAAAAACCCAAACCGGGGTATGGGGAAAATGTGGAAAATGGGTGAATGGGTTGAATGGGTTGAATGGTAGTGTGGAAAACTGCAGCAGTGCTCCACTTAGTGAGCTCCCCAGTCCCATGGCAATCTACGTGCTCGGGGTCCAGGCGCTGGCCATAATTGCATTAGCCGGATGCCCTGGATGTGGCTCCCATTTCCACAACCACATCCCCATCCACCTCCCCATCCACCTCCACATCCACCACCCACCCTGGGTTAATGTAATTGTTTTGTGTATTTAGCCTGGACATTGCATTCAAGTATCACGAGGCAAAACCCATCTAACCTGCCCTGCAAACCGCCCTTAATGACCCAATCAATGCACGCGATTCCGGGTCGAGTTGGGAGTTGGTAAAAGTTCTGGCCCCATTTGACAAGCTCAAAATGCAAATTGTTGGCAATTAGCGTTTCATGCGATTCCAGCACGAAGGTGGCAAAGCTTCTTGGCTCATCTGCAGCCAACTAATTAAACTTTGTCTGTCTCGGGGCGTCTAATGTGAAGACATTTGAGCTTAGACTTTGGAAACGCACCACAAAGAGGCTAGCATTAATTATTTGACTTCGTCAATTGCCTAATTTTGATTTAGTCCTACTCAAAATTAAGTCAACAGTTCAATTTGAATTGCCGTATATTAAGTTTAAGTGCTTAGACTGGATTGATTGATGCAAGATAAGCTACAAAAATACAAAGTATTTAATTTCCAGAATCAAAAGGAGCAATTTATAGTTTAAATGATTTTAGATTACTTGATGCTTAAGTTATTTCAAATGTGATAAGATGTATTTCTATTCCACATTTTAAGATCGAATATTTAAAACCAAATATATACGACACTCCGTTTTAAATGCTTGTTTTAATTACTCATTTAAATGATGTCATTTCTCAATCCACATCCCCAAACTTTCATAGTAACCTTTAAATTAATTAAAAGAATTTTTCAATTGATTGATTATTCATCAGCCTTATGCAATTTGAATGCTTTTGCCTAAATAAATATTTAAAAGCTTAGCTCTTTGGCAAAATAAGTCTTCAGCATATCCAATTTCAACATTGCTTATGTCGGCGATAACATTAGGCGAAATAATTAGCATATGGTCGTTCCTGTAATCAATTGAAATCTTTTCACTCGATTGAAATTGCGAAACCAAGAGCAGAAATCAAGAGAATTAAACTTCAGGCGGCAATTAAACTTCAGGCGGCAAGGATGGCGAACACCAATGGCAAATTACCACAATTGATGCATATAGACATCTGGATTCAGATTCGCATTCAGGCAGACGGTATTCCACAGAACTGGCATCATTTGCCTGCGGGCGGAAAATTTATGACAGTTTTCGGTTATTTGTGTCTGGCTGGGTTCCGATGGCTCGATTTCTCGACTTCTCGATGGCTCGATGGCTCGACAGTGGGAATGATGTAACCAGAAGGAGCAATAACAAAATACATCAGCAACAGCAGCAGCAACAGCAGCAGCAGCAGCAACTGCAGCAGCAACGGCGGCAACTGCTTACAAAATAATTGATTTTGTACACATCCTTGACACAAATAAACATTCGCTCGGCTCTGCGAAAGTTAAAACCCACCATGAGCCAGCCACGTTGGGGGTCGTAGAGCTCTGTGAAAATTTTGAATTAAATCCAAACAAAGCTAAAGGATTTTTAATTGAATTTGAGGGGTTTCAACAGCAAATTCAATTCGCAGTTTGCACAGTTACAGGCAAAAGTTTAATGAATCCAATGAAGTTTATACGCTCGAGAGGAGTGTTTGTGTTTTGTTTTTTTTTTTTTGTTTCTCTCATGTAACAAACAGAACTAGCTGAAGAGCAAATAGCCAGGATTGCTAGCCTAGGACACGACTGATTTAATCACCTGAAAAAGAGCAACGCAACTCGATTCTTTCTTTTTACAACTCCAGGATATTGAGTTTCGAAAGGCACACGTTGCAGGGCCCCAAGGGCCACACATCCAAGTGCTCGATGTTCCGAACGCTCTGCACTTGACACAGTGACAAGAGCCTAACTGCAACCTGCCTTGGCATCCCAATCCACTGGGCCATCAACACATCAACAGGCCGCCATCATAAATTCAGCACTCGCGTTCGCAAAAACGCAAAAAAAACTCAAAAACTGTCACCAAAAGAGAATGGCAGAATGGCAGAATGGCAGGGAAAATGGGGCCAAAAGGCAGAGCTTAGTCCATTGCCAACTGCCAATCCGGCGACTGAAGAACTGTTGGCTAATTTGCAGCTTCAATGCAGGCGTGTCGTTCTTTTTGGGACACGGCTTAATTGAAAGTTCGGACAGGTCTTTGTGCTGCAATTTGAACACGGCATTTTCGGCCTTTCCTAAGCGGCTTTAAGTCCTTGGCCAAAGGATACAAGCGAAACCGAGAAAGGCAATTATGCCAGGTAAGTCTTCCATCTACCAAAAGTTCTGAAAATGTGACACTTTTTAAGAAAGATACATACGATTTATATGCAAATTAATGTACATTTTTGATTGCCTTAAAAATTCTTCCTTTTTCTTAAGCTTAAGAAAACGCCACTTGATAAGTTACTTTACCAGGAAAAAACACAGCAAAATCATAAGGTGGAATCAAAACTGATCTATATACAATTAATGCAATTAAAGTACTTTAAAAAAATATTAATTGTAAAATAAAAAAAAAAATAATAAAATTAATTTTAAAATATTTATTTTCCTTGTTTTCCTAGTCTAGTCACTAAATTTTAGCATAAACATTTGTGATATAATATATCGGCTATTGTTCCAAAGAACCTGGCAAAACAAAACCTTTACCTACACTACATAGTAGTATATATAAAATATATATAAACTATCATTGAAACGAAATAAACGTAATGAATTATCTTGTTGCATTTAAAATAGACAGAGATAAGGCGAGTTACTTTTTAAGGTAACCTACATATTCAAAGAAATTCCCAATTAAACTCAATAATCAATAAGTTACAAATTGACCAGGTGAGCAGTTAAACAACCATCTTATTTATCTTCTTAGCCATGTCCTCGAAACGGCTTGATTGATTTAATTACTTAATTGCCAGTTGGCTGAATGATAGACAATCGAAACGAAATACATTGGGTAGGAGGTATTTTTACCCGACAATAATTGAAAAATCAATAGTGTGGCACCGGCTTAAGCAATTGCCATTCGAAATTGGATTCCAGCTAATTGTCTGTCAGTCGAAGAACCAACTTAGTTGTGGTTTTGGTAAAACCAAAAGGCTAAAAGGCGAGAAACTATTCGATTCAATTAAATTTGCATTAGGGCGGGAATGCATTAATAAATATTAAGATCTCAATTACACTTGGCAGAGCCAATTTAGTGCAGAGTACGTGGGGATCGGGTTTTTTTTGGCAGCCTACCAAAAACGAGGCAGCCGAAAAAAAAAGTAGAATAGAAATCAATTTGAAAGTGTTTGCCTGTGCCCCTCTAACTTCTACCCACCCGCCCACTTTGTGGCACAATTACCAAGGCATTTTCGTTGATTTGCAGCACGTTTTCCCAGTTGCCAGCACTACCGCTGATGATTTCGATTCCGGCGAAGACGATGATGATGATTCCCCGGCCATGATGAAGCTGTCGTGGCACTTCAAGTGGCCAAAGATGTGGCGCACAATTGTCACAACGAACACTATATAGCGGCGAGGAAAAAAATCACTTTTTCCTTTGGCAGTTTGGAGTGGCAAGCCAACAACGCCAAAGTAGCTGCCTCGATAGCGACAATAATAATGTGCAAAAGGCCTTGTTGGCAGGGTTTTCCTTGCAGAAAAACTTAAAGTAGCCGTTTACCAAACTTTAATTGACTTTAAAAGTATTGGATTCTGGATGACAAAAATCGTTTAGGCAGCACTTTCTTTCTGGGAATTGGAAAAGCCATCAAGATGGCCAACAATTGACAGCGGCTTTCAATATTCCTGAGTCGCAATGACCAGGGACCTTTGCCTGTCCCACTGAGATCCCCTTGAAATGCACACAATTTGTATATGCATTTGAGTGGTCCTTTGTGCGTGTTCCTCGTATTTGCATCGGTGTGCACTTAAGCCGAGCTTTGTTGTCGATTGCTTGACAGTTTCTTGCAGAGTAGAAAAAATATCCATTTAAATGCAATACTGTGCTCTTGACCAAGATGAAGATTTCTGGCTAAAAAACCTTTGCAATTCTCTTTAAAAAAACATTTTTCTGAACGAACAATAATTTTACTTGTCGACATTATAAAAGTATTAAAAAGTTCCCAGTAAATTTGGCCAGCTTGTTCCGAGTATCTGGCCATGTTTTAAATACACTTTAGGTAGATAGCTAAATTCGTACTCTATTCTATTTCCTTTATTAATTTGAATTACTTTTTCCATGAATGTCTTTATAATGTGTTGTTCAATTTATACAAATCAGTGTTTTTTAAAGGGCATGGCATCTGCTTATTTGTAAGCAATGCTGAAAAATAAGCTTTCTTAGTGGAAAATGGATAAATACTGATTCTTAGTAATAATTAATTTGTTAATCAAAAAAATATTATAGTTGGTTAACTTCTTAAAAAAAGAATTTACCGAATAACAATAATTGCATTTGTCGATATTATTAAAGTATTAGTATTGCATGTGTTCATTGCAAGAATGAGCAATAACCTTTCTCATTGCAAAATTGAGAGTTAAGCCTTCTAATTTAAGTAAAAATTTATTTGTTAAACCAGCAAATAAAGTAATTGCTAAGTTCTTGGTAGTTGGTTGGAAAATAAGTTCTGGAAAATCCCCCACAATTATGATGAAGCCGTGAGACTCACCTGCAAGTCGGTTGCTGTGCCCGGCTGTGCCAGATCACAGGCTGATATCCAAGGATTAAGGCGTGTTAACGAAGTCGCAGTGCCGAGTATGGACTTCTTCAGATCCACGGGTGCTGGCAAGGATGTGGTGGTGGTGCCGCTGTCGCTGTTGCTTTTGCTGTTGCTTTTGCTGTTGCTTTTGCTGTTGCTTTTGCTGTTGCTTTTGCTGTTGCTGGCTCCTGCCGACTCGGTGGTGACCACGGCGGACAGGCTGTTATCCTTGTGGCCAATCAGCTGGGCCGTCTGGGCATCAAGGATGTGGCCGCTGGCCTCTCGTTTGTTATTGTTATTATCGTAGCTGTTGGCGAACTCCTTCGAGTGGCCGTTGCTGTTTCTGTTGCCGTTGTCGTTGTGCTGCAGGACACCCTCATCAATCAGTCGGCTCTCGTCCTGCTGCTGCTGTTCGGTTTCAGTTTCCGTTTCCGTTTCGGCTTCCCTCTCTGTCTCTGTCTCTGTCTCGCTCTGTGGCTCTGGCTCTGTGTCTATTTCCGTTTCCGCTTCGGGTTGCTGTTGCCGCTGCAGATTGTAGTCCTCCTCGTCGGCGTCTTCGTTGAGCTTGATCAGGCGATCGAAGGACTCCTCGGACAGCAGATCGTCCTCGGCCACCAGGGCGAAGATGTCCTGGTCCTCGTCGTAGGCCTGCGACGAGGGGAACTGCACGGTCAGGCCGCGATCTTGCTCCGCCTCCGGATCCGCTTCCTGCTGGTCGCCGAACTCTGTGACTCCTAATCCCGCTGCTGCAGGACCTCCTTTTGCCGCACCCACTCCCGCTGCCGTTCCGCCTGCCCTACCTGCTATGTCCCTGCTGCTGCTGCTGCTCTCGCGACGCCTCCGCCTCTGCTGCCTCCTGTCCGCAATCCTCGAGGATATCCAGGACTCGGAGTGCGCCTGCTGGTACTGGCTGTACTCCCGCGGCGGCAGTTGGGGGTGCTGAAAGTGGAGCGCAAACTCGAAATGGTGGGGCAGGAAGATGGGCAGCAGGTACGAGCCAGAGCTGCGAACGAATGACGACGATGACGATTCGCCAGTGGACGGTAACGTGGTTGCAACTCCACCGCCTCTGCCTCTGCCCCCCCTGCTTCCACCGCCGTCCGATGTGGTTGCTCCTGCTGCGGATGTTGCTGCCGCAGATATTGCTGCTGCCGCAGGTGTTGCCGCTGTTGCTGTTGGTGTTGCTGTTGCTGAGCTGATGCTGCTGCTGCTGCCACGCCGAGCCCCCGAAATAAACGCAAGCGCCATCACGACCAGCCCGGGTCCTGGCCGCATATTGACCTCGGGTTCGGCGGTGCTAGCATGGTGCAGGCCCGCTTGAGACGCGCTTGCGACTCCAATTCAATGCGAGTAATGATGGGCTCATGGCCCCATCATCATCAGTAGTGTGGGCTGCGGAGCGGTATTCTTAGTTGGCGATCGGCGATCGGCTCTCTCTCGACCCGTCGTCTGATCCTTCTGATCCCTCTTGTCCCTCTGATCCCTCTGATCCCTCTTGTCCCTCCGCCAGAGCCGCTCCAGCTTCAGTTGCTGCCCTGCGTCGTCCACATCCAGCGGCATGAATCCCGGCCAGATTCCCAGTTCCTTTCGCCAGCTAATCACTGGCCAGCATTCGAAAAGTAAGCTTTTTTTTTGGTTTTAGGAGGCCACGATTTTTTGGATTGAAAAAAACTCACTCCGCTTAACGCTTTAATTTTCTGTTACTCTCATAATATTATTATTTAATTATTTGTATTATTGTTGTATTTGCTGGTGGTGCACAATAACCTTGGAATTGGAATTGGACATTTTGAAATTCGTTTGCTTCGTTGATTTGGTTTTTTTTTCTTAATTTTTTTTTTTTAGTTGGGGTTTGGGTTGCTCACATAATTAATTAATTAAGAAATCTGCACAAAGATAAAGAAGTTGTGGTTAGGCACTTTTCGGAGCATTTTTCCGATTTTAATGTGTGTTTTTCAGTCAAAAAAAAATTAGTAGGGGGGTGATGTTCGAAAATATTTTGTGCGCTCACGCTCTCGATTTCTCAATGCGCTCTATTTGCGCTCTCTCAAAATCATTAAGCTAATGGCTAAGAACATGTTTTGGGAACTTATTTGTCTAGAAAGAGTTATAAATTAATGGCATTTCAAGGCGCTTTGGTGTCTTTTTTTTTCCAGTTTAATGTTAATTTAGTTTAAATATTTTTCGCACAGAGCGAGATGGCACTAGCTCTTCGTTTTGCCGAAGCTTGTAAACGGTAAAACCGAACGAACGCGAACGCCGCACAAAGGAAGAAAGCCGAAAAAAACGGTCGTGGAAATCCCGTATATCTAACACACACACACGCACAGAGGCAGTGCAAAGAAATTTATATAATTCGCTGCTCTGCTTCTGCTTTCAGCTTTCTCTCTTGTTTTTGTTGGCTTTCGCTGCAAACACACAAAAACAGCCAACGCAGGGATCCACTAAAGGAGCACGAGGACTCGAATTCGTGGGTGTAAGCCGTAGCTCTCTCACCCACCCACACACACACACACACACGCGCGCTCTTTCTCTCTCTTTTTGGTCCTGCGAACGCGAGTGTGTGCGTGAGTAGTTACTTAGGGCAGCCAGGCAAGCACTCCGCATGCCACTTTTTTCCCTTCTTTTTTTTTTTTTGGTATTTTAGCCAACAAGAAGAAGTTGGCTAGAAACAAGGAGAAGAAGAAGAGTAAGAAGAGGAATAAGTGAAAGAGGCCGCAGGACCAAAAGAAGTCGCCCCTTTCGCTGTATTGGTGGTAAGCCTATGCGTGTGTGTCCCTCTCTTGGCGTTCGCTCTCAATTGGTATTGGTGTTAGAGCACCAAATCCAAGAAGTGGAAATCGAAGAAGCATGTTTCAAATAAAAGACACCAATCCTAAAACAAAGAAGTCCCAAATCACTTCCTTTTTGCCTTTTAATAACCCCTGAGAACGTGTGTATCACAAAGGAATCTAGACTTTCAATTCAGCATTTTTCGTGTTTCATTTAAATCCTCGATTGTCCTCTTCGCTTTTTTTCACAGGCTTTCTGCCTTCGCTCTTTGTGTGTTAACTTTCACTTTTGTTTTATTTGCTGCGTTGACACTGCGCACACACACACACACACGCACACACACGAACGCACGCACACTCGTGGCTAGATGTATATGTATAAGGATTTTCTCTTTTTTTTTGTTGGTGCGTGTGCTGGCTGTGGGATCCTTTCATTTCAGTACAACAGCCGCTTATATAAGCCCGGAACGTAGCACGAAAACTTTGGAACACTCTTTAGCGGGTTTTTGGTTTTTGGGTTTTTGGTTTTCTTTTACTTTTTTGTGTTGTTTCTATATATACGCATATAAACGCTGCGAATCGAACGGCATTATGATGAACGAGCGAAAAACTCCCCGAAATGCGGGGGCATTAATTTTTGCATTATATAACATTTTGGTGGGGGGCGCAACCGTCCGTTTTTCTGGGCGAGAATTAACGAGTTCGAAAGCACTTTGGTAACACTTTTTTTTCGAGTGGCAAATACTCGGTGGGGGTTACCTACGTGCAAATATGTAAATAGGTAAATATGTACTATATACTTGGGGGTGGAGGGGGGCCCTACTTCTTCTTCTTCTTATTTTCCGCAGAGCGCAGCATCAACGGCCGTGTAACGGTTATTTTCGCATGTGTGGGCGGGGACACACGGCCGAATGCGGGGGGCGTGGCGTGGTAGGCAGTGCTCGAGAGTTATGCTTGGCAGATTTTCCTGCTTCTTTTCTTTTCTTTTCGATTTTTTTTTTTTTGGTTCGGTTAACGCTTTGATTTTGGTTTATATTTGGATTAGTTTCGCAGACTAGCCATCGCCCCCGGCCACTGTAAAAAGTCTGAGGACCCGAGTACCGTTTTATACACTGAGTTCGGTGAAGAACTGAATGCTTCTGCTGCTTTTTTTTTCTTTTACTGGCTACAATTTGGTGTGTTTTTTGTGAACGCGACGTCGCAGGACAAATACCGTACAATCCTGCTTCCTGCTGATGGCCCCAAACGGCACTGACTGTGCCACAATTGCAGATGGCGCTCGACTGGAATGTGCGAGCGGTCCACAAGGACCCGACTGCTGCCCGAAGTCACCCGAAGCCGCGCACGAACTCACGCCCGAGGGCACAGCAGCTGACAACGGAGAGCCGCCTGCTCTCTCATGCGCTGTCGCTCTCCGCCGTTTTCCAGGACTCGTCTTGCTTTGGTCCTTTAACAGAGCACGCTGTTAGCCATTAACAGCGATTTCGAAAAGCCATTTCTAGGGCCAGTTCGACGAGTTGAAGTAAGAAGAATTACTTGCTGCAGGGCACTTAATCACACGAGCGGAGAAAGGGAGAGAGAGAGAGAGAGAGTCACTCAGAAGTCCCCACTTGACTCGACTCATCTATTTCGTCCTTTCGTCCATCCTGTCCCTCTGTTTTTGCCTTTACTTTTACTTTTCGGTCTCTGGCTTTTGTGTGCGCATTTCGTTATGGCGTTTTGTCTTTGTCTCACTTGGCCTAAATGTGTAATACCCTATAATGTCGTTTAATCCCACTCGACGTGTTTTAGTTTCGCCCGCCAGCTTAGGCCAAAGTCAGGCGGAGTCGGAATGTTGTCGCATGGTGAAGTCGATGGTGAGATAATTACCAGGTGCCTCGGGAGGCGATGCAGTTCCCCAGTTCCTCAGTTCAAGTAGCCTACTGCTACTTGATTGGCAATTAGCGGCGAGATAATGGGGACACGGCCAATTAATATGCTTCTCAATTGATGCGGCATACGAAAACCAATTGAATTTGGCTCAATAATTTGAAAACTTTGTTTCAATCGAAACCCAACTATTCTCATAGGAAGACCAATGGAATATTGTCTTAATAATTTGTATAATATAAATAAATAAATAAATAAATAATATAAATAAATAAAGGTAAAGTATTAATAATAAAAATACCTATTTAAATTAAATTAAATTTTAAAAATACTGATATTATATTGTTTTAATCGCACTACTCATTAGTAATTATAAAATGTTGAATTACAAATTCGATTTCTGTAAAGGTATTATATAAAATTGTAATTATATAGGGCAGATCTTTGTTTTCTGTTTCTCTTTTCGTAAGGTTTTTTTAGTTAAAGAAATATAAAGTTCAATATTCAATTGTATTCATTGTATTCAATAATATATAAATTATATGTATGCTTATATTTATTTATGTTCATATTTAATATTCCTTGATTGGTCAAATGTTACAATTCAACAACTAAAACTAACAAAATCTGGACCAAACTCAAAGTTTTCTTAAAGCTGACGACCTTTTGAGCGTTTTTAAAAATTGACTAAGTTATTTTCGAAAAACAATCCACGCAAGAGCCTTTTCAACGTGAACCGAGTTGATGACCAATTTCGGTGATGCATATTCTGCCGAGCTCTCGCCGGCAGTCCAATTGCGATGAATATCCAAGGCCAAGCCGACCTTCAAACAGACACTCGACAGTAGCAGCAGAGTCGGTGGCAGTTGAAACAGCCAACAGCCAACAGCCAACAGTGAACAGTGAACAGCCACTCACTCAATAGTTGGCGGTTAGTCGGGCCAAAAGATGGGAGGACAGTGAATGGGAGGACAGACAGCACTTGAATTATTTAGTTTTCTTTTTGGTAATTAACTTAAGTAACTGCCACGACAAATCAAAGGGAAGGCCCGACCATGGCCATATTAGCCACACCCGATTCGGTCCAATGAGGGCGACGGCGAAGGCGACAGCGAAAGTGACCAAGTGAAGTGGGTAAGCAAAACAAACAGAAATCGAAAAAATACAAAGATTACTATATAACAACAAAGGCGGAAGGAAAGCGGGCGAGAATCATTTGGCTTGGAAAGCAGTTTGCTTCAATTTATGCGCATTCCAATCAATAACTGTGACACATGCAAGGACAACAGGACGAGCAGAGAGGACGAACGGAAGGAAAGGACCCAGACCCAAACCCAGACCCAGGCCCACCCGACAAAAAGCAGCAAGCAGCACCCAAGAATCAGCCAAAGAACCAAGCAACCAAGAATCCAAGGAGCCACGAGGAGAGTGAAAGTGCCAGGACATCGAGAACATGGAAGATGGCTCGCTGGTGTTTGTGGCATGGATATGAATGTGTCAAACTTATGCGGGCGCACACCCACACACACTTACCCACACACTCGCACATGTCGGTGTGCGTGCAGAAATTGATAAGAAACGGAATAACCCTCAAGAAAATTTGCGGCGAGCGAACGTATGTGTGTGTGGGAGGATGTGAGAGGCACTGAGAAAATGGAAAACAAAACCAAAATGCCTGCACAAATAACAAAATAATACTAACAACTAGAAGGGAAAACTTAACGTGTACTTTAGCATAAAGATTCCTGGATACTCTTTCGAAAGACAAGGGTACAAAATATTTCCTTATAATTAAATTAATGACTAGTTCATTCATTTAAAAGTGATTTTACTTGTAGCACTAACCTTTTATAAAATAAATTAAAAAAGATAAAATAATAAAAATTTAGTGGATTAATAGTACAGTGTGTTTTAAAAATAGCATTTTAAATTTTAAATATCCCTTAACTATTTACAAAAGAATAAAAACTACATTCATGTATTAGTCAAATCTTTTAGCCTTGTCCCTAAACTTATACTGCTTCAAGAGAATTAGCTGTATTTTTAGTTAAATATAGTTTTAAACCTAAGATAAGACAATTGATTATGCTATATTTAACCCTTTGATTGTTTCTTTGTCAGTTATGGAGGTGATTTCAAACCACATAGCCTAGATATTAATCGGATTACCGCTCCGTTGATTAATTAAAATGATTTATTTTCTGTTTATAAATATACTTTCGGCGCTGATTGATACACAAAACTCTTGGCCTGGCAGGACGTTATCAAATGCATTACCAGGACAGTTTAAAAGTGCGAAGTGGGTGTTTTTGATGGGTGCTAGAGCTTTCGAGTCAGAATCAGACTCGTTATCGTCGCCGCATCTGACAGTTTGGTAAGTTGAGCATCCAATCGCATCGCATCGCATCTCATCGCATCTTGGGGCAGCATCCTTTTCAATTTCAGTGCCATCTTCAGTTTCCCAATTCCCCAGTTTGCCAGTTTGCCAGCTTGGGTTTTCGGCTGCTAGCGTGCCAAGGTAGCTGCGACGCTCAGCTTTTCAGATATAACCGTTACAAGGACGCCGCCTGACCAAAACGAAAGCAAACGAATCGAAACGAAACGAGAGGAAAGCCAAGGCAGGAAAAGTGGGTGGCGAAAGGAAGCGGCAAGGATTTTGCGCAGTCCTTCCCTCGCGCAAGTCGCTCTGCTCATTTTATTTATTTTATTTTTTCTTTTTTTTCGCACACGCACCACGAAGAGCAAACGCAAAAGGGAACGCTCACACACACAGAGAAGCGGCGGGAGGCAGAGGCAAGTTTTGTGAATGAAATTTCGCGCAGGCACAAAGCGGCCAAACAATGTGATAAAAGGGAGGCAGCGGCAGGACATCCCCCGCCTTAGCGCAAATCCCTCGGGCAAGTCACGCGGCGAGCGAATGCACAGAGAACCTTCCACCGCCCACCGCCCAGCTCCACCCAAAAAACAAAAGCAAACACAAACAATGCCGCCAAAAAGCACAGTCTAACTTCTATAAATCGAACTTTGACAAGGGTAGCCCCACGTTGGGCGCCAATTATTTTGACCTCATACCTTGTGGTTCCCAAAATTGAAAACTTTAATTATTTTTGGAATTTGAAACGCTATTTTTCGAAGCTCTTGTCGATTTATAACTTCAGCAAGTCGAACTTTCTTAATTTGGTCCCACGATGGGCGCCACATTTGCCCAACTTGTCGAGTTTAAAGGAGTTCGACTGTATTTTATGTATAAACAGAAGCTTGAAGGGACAGCCGCTTCTTGCTGCTGCTGCTTCCTTACTTTTCCTCGCCCTATTCCTATTGCTGCTGTAGCGGGCGTGGTGTCTGCTGCCTTCCTGGAAACGCTGGAAGGCAAAAGGGAAACTAAACTAACGCTCGGCGCCTATCGATGATGACGATGACTGTGACTCAGATTCGAAATCGGACTCAGACTCGTTTGGTCCGTCTTGACCCACAAATGGGTCCTGCTGTCTGATAATTATGCGAGCTATGAACTGCGAACTGCCAGCCATTGGAGATGGCGCTGGAGATACGGTTAAATGCGCGCAATAAAAGCGAAGGCGGATGATGGTTGGGAGGGCGGTTAGCCAAAATAGGTTATTGCAATCTTCGCGATGGCAGGAGAAGCAAAATAAATGCTCAGATAAAAGCATTAAAGAAGATAATCAAGGTTAGCTTCTGGAAGCATATTGGATTCGAGTGCGATTTAAATTGAATTTGGGGAACTTTCAAAAAAGAGAGCTTTTGGATAAAGAGGAACTGTTATGACAAATTGCCTGCAATCGGATAGCAAACGATGGCGATGATTTAACATAATGAGATCAATAGTGATCGTCCAGTACCAACAGAAAGAGAAAAGTCCGTATTTCAAGTTATGTGAGATAAGCTAAAGTTTCCCCTAAATGAGCTATCACTGGAAATTGAATCATATATATATATATTTTTTTTTTTTAAATCTATGAACCAGCTCACGGTATGAATCACTAACTGCTATTGATTAAAACCAAATTTAAATTCGGAGATTTGTATTTTTTTTTTTTTGTTAGTTGGATTGAAATTGAATGTAATGAAATGGGAGTTGCACAATTGCTGGCCAGCCATTTAAGGCCCCCCACTCACACACACTCTCTCCCCTATCGGTACACATATGCAGCACCTAAAATGTAAATTCCTATGGGTGTGTGTGAGAGTGCGGGCGGGTGTGTTTCTTGCTGTTGTTGGGTGATAAAGCCATAGATAGAGCGTGGGTGCATGAGTGTGGATAATGGCTCGTCGCAAAGTCGAAACGCACACACCAAGCCACCGAATGTCTGCACAAGCCCCCTTATTGCCACCCAACAACCCACTCACCCACACACACACACACACACGCACTCAAACACACACACACACGGACACATACATGCGCGTTTCACATAATAAGGTGCGATTTGTCTCGCGCATAAAACGAAATTTCCTGCACACAAACACATAAAAAAGGAGAGGGAGACAGGCAAAGGGGGTGGTTGAGGGGGTGGGGGGGGTTAGGTGGGTGATGGTTAAGGGGGTAGGGGGTGGAAGGTGGTAGGTCTGCTTGGTAGCTGGCCAACAATAGTCGGCTTCTTTAACGGGATGAGGGGCCAGCTTCGATTGCTTTGTTGCTTGTACATGACAGCAAAAGCATTGGGTGTCTCTCTGCGTTTGTATGAGTGGGTGGGTGAATGGGTGGCTCTGTGGGTGGTGGGTGGTTGGCTAACTGTTCTCCGCATCTTTGTAGGTTAAGGCTTATGTCAAAGCAGGAAAATGGGCGACAAAAGGCGTAAGACGAGGCAAACTCGTTTGCCATAATTATTGCTTTTGTTGGTAGCTATCGTCCTTCCTCACCCTTAACATACCCCTCCCCTCCCCTTCCCACCCACCTCCTCTCAATCCTGGGCATTATTATTTTAACCGGAAATGTGCGCATATGTGTGTGCGTGTGTGTATGTGTATCGCACAATTTGTGAACTGCATGAACTTTTGTGCCTTGGCCAAAAGGAAGCTCTTCCTGTGTGTGCCGGCATTTAGCAAATTTTGTATGACAATGACTCTTCACACCCCGTCTCCTTCCCAGGCAGCCCTTAATTTTATGACAAATATTATGTTAAAGACCGAATATGCGCTACACCATAAAAGTCAATCATTTTTCATTCCAGCTCCCTTGCTTTCATATTTTGTATGTCCACTGGGGACATTTAATTTTGGGTTTTTTTTTTTTGTTGTTCTGTTGGCTGTGATTTTTCTTGATATGCGATATCGCTGTTTTCTGCGCGCTTTCTCTCTGTCTCTCTTTCTCCCTCTTTTTCTGTCATCTCTTGTCTCTCTTTTGCTTTGGTTAGCGCATTTGGGTGTTTGCGAGTATGTGTTTGCCACCCACTGGGCAAGCTTTTGTTGATATTTGGCGCGGCCTGCTTCAATTTATGTTCTGTTTGCCTTTATTGTCTTTCTCGACATTTTTCCCTTCACTGTTTGTTGTCCTTCTACGGTCGAGCTTGGCTAAAGTGAATTAATACATATTTCCGTACAAAATTATCACAATCGAAATGTTTTTTTTAGATTTAAATAATTGTTTTTAGTCCATATAGTAATTAAACACAAATACAACTGAAAACCTGGTTAAACAAACATGATTTAAAACAAAAATTGATTTAAATACCTGAAATTTAATTTAACAAGAATATAAAGGGTAAAGTGTGCATCCTACTTTCTTTTCAATAATTTATTAACAACTTTTGAAGATTAAATCTTATGCAAAGCTTTTACCAATTTCATGTAAGTCAAAATGGTCCAGTGGATCTAGGAAACATTTTTAAAAACTTTTTTTTTAAATTATAGTCTTTAGGAAATGGAAACCTACAATTCGTTGTCATTAATTTCTTGGGCTTAGATATTGGTATCATTTAGGGATTTTCTTCTGTACTCCTGTTGGGGGTGTGTGCAGTTTTTTCCGCTCCTTCCCACTGCTTTCATTTTTTTATTGATAAGTTCATTTAATGGGCATGGCCTCCGCCAGCTGCCATCTCATCTCGCCTCTCTGTCACTGCCACTCGTGCCATCTCTTTCGCTTTCGCTTTCTCGTCCTGCTGCCATTGTCTCCGTTTTGACATTTGTTGGAGTGGCCGCCTAATGAGTTTAATGCTTTGTTATCATCGCTGTAATCGGCTTATGTAATATGGCAATATAATTGAATCCCCCGGAATTATGTCATTCGGCTGAGGCATGGAATTTACAATTGCAAATTCACAAATTGCCAATGCCGGCAATGCACCACCTGCCCCGAAAATCATAAAGGAAATGTTTGTCGGTGTGTGTGTGTGTGTGTGTGTCAACATGGGAAAGCCACTTTCACTCAGCGAGCAAATGAAACTTAACGGAAAAGAAAATTACATCATGCTCGTTTCAATGGGTCGACATAATATTATTTTCTCGGTCCGGGCGAAAAACGAACAGACGGCATAGCACCCAGTGGGTGGTGGGTGGTGGGTAGTGGGTCCTCGTCTGGTAGTCAATTTTTTATTTATTTATTTTATGCCTACGCACATACGCGCCTGGTGAAAGCGGAGAAAGCGAAGAAAGTGGGGGCTTGACAGGTGTCGCCGACTGAGTGGCTGCCTGACAGACTCGCAAAAGTGGGTGTGGCCCCATCAGCGGTGCGGTGGTGGGGTGGTGAAAAATGGTAGCCTATTATTCTTTGTATTGTTTTATGTGGCATTTATACGCGTATTTTTGTCGTCTTTTAATAGGCAGGGCAAGGCAAGGCATGGCGAATGGCGAACATCCCGCCGAGTGGAAAATAACAAGGGCAATAGACCACCGCACCCAAATCCAAGCTGGAGGGCTAAGGCTGCTCCTCTGCCCCGTATCGCCATCCAATCAGTAGATAAATAACACATAAAATGAGGTGCTTAATCGGGTTTGAAGTGATGAAAGTGAAACTGGGTATGCGGTCCCGGTCCGTTCCGTTCTGCTCCATTCAGTTCAGTTTGCGTGTATCTCACCGGAGGCGATGGCTTTGTCTCCGGCGTAAATCTCGAGTATCAACCGGGTATTTGAATATCATTTGCGACCGCCAAATTTGGCAGTGTGCGTGTCCTTCGGGCGTGACGGCATAATTCCACTTTAAATTGCACGCGTACACAAGTAATTTGTCAGCATTGTTTGCATAAATTAGGTAGCCGAAAGTGGTTGATTGGCAAGTGCCATAATAGCACATCAAAAATTTCAAGTTTCATAAGTATATCGTTTGAAATTGCCGCCCATTGCTGTAATTATCGATTTTCGATAAGGTATGATAAGTATTTTCCCATAAGGCGTTAGGCCATTAATCGATAGGTTGCACATATATTTTATATACAAGCATTTGATTTAAAAATAAAGAGCAATGAAAATTTGAAAATTTTGTTTTTACTTCCCGGTTTTAGTAAATAATCACACTTACTAAATACTTGCTTTCTAAGGCCAGACGCTTTGCGGCTTTTTTTTATCAACAATGTTTGCGATTACTTTATTCAACAAAGTATAAAGTAAAATGTACCCAATTGCTTTAAACAATTAAAACTAATTGAAAATCTATTAAATGTTTTATGTTTTTAAAACCTCAACGGCTTGGCGGGTAACCAATACAGCCACCTTTTTCGATGGCGAATAAGCCCGCTAGCCAGCGCTGCCACCCACTTCACTTAGCCAAGTTTCCCTCTCATCCAACGTTGCCAGATGTTCTGTAGCCGTTAAAACAACAATACCCGCTAAATTAGTATATTTTTGTATCTTTTGTTATATTGTGCGTTTTATGGCCACACTAAACCCGACTCCAGCTGTGCGGATCAAAAAATTATAATCAGAATCAGTATTATAAACGCACATTATCCCCCAAGCCAAGCGATCGAAATCAAAAGATAAACCACTGCATTTAGGCTACTCAACAGGGAAACAATAACAAGTAAATTTCCAGCGGAAAAAAGCTAAAAGAAAACTATTGCGGCAATAGGTTACTTACCCATTGGTAAGTAAATATAATTGGTAAGAACTGCATAAATTAGCCAAGTGTTACCTTTGAAGTACTTTTAATAACACAATTAAGTGGCGGCCAGCAGACTTGTTGCTTTTTTCAGTTGCCATATCGCTGCTGGCATTTATTGATTTTGTTTTTGGGTTGTTATCAACAACCTGCTCCGCCCACTTCGCCCGCCCGCCCTCCACCGAAGTGTATATTTATATTTACCAACCAAACAATTGGCTTTTCCAGCTATCTTATCAGTCAGTACCCCGCGAATCATGCTAATTTGTTTAAACCAATTTACTCATCTGATTCCATCAGTCAGCGCTAATCCGTAATTGGATGGAGATATCCGTGGATATCAGATGCTAATTGACCGGATGGCTTTGTTAAACGAGTCGTTACTCCCAAAAAAAAAATAAAATTTATAACGCCTCAAATCGAACGTGTTAAATAGTAATTTACGCCTCGAATAATGCCGCACCCACTCAACCAAACAAAATCAATAAATGCAGCTCCTGACCGCCCACTTAGCCACCCACTATTCCTTTTATCTATTTCAGCTGCAATGATATCGTGAATTCGCAGGCCTATCAAATTTGAGATTTGAATCAACTCTTTATCACTTACCCCAGAAAGCAGAAGCCAAAAACGTCGCAAAAATGAAACCGAAAAGCTGGCGGCATAAGCGTAAATAGTTATTTGCCCATTGATAACCAAAGGAGATAGACATTACCTTTTGAGAGTCGGAAAAATTTAAACATAATCCGTTTGGCAAGCATTCGAAAATCAGGCGGAAAATCATGCTGGGTCGCACCCAAAAACTGCTGCTGGGCATATCCATACTGATACTAGTCGATGTGGTTTGGGTCTCCTCCAGCGAGTTGACCAAGGTAAGGGTTTTATTATATATATATACATCTATATATTCAAGAAATCGTTTTAACTTTCTTTAATTTTTTTTCTAGTTTCTGTACAATGAGGCCAACTTTGAGAAGCCCTTCTTCTGCACTTACTTCAAAACCTCCATGTTCAGCATTTATCTGCTCGTCATTGGCATCCTGGCGCCTTGGAAAGAGTCCTGCGAGCGTCAAAATGGAAACTATGCTGTAAGAAATTAAATTACTTTATACTAAACACTACTAAATTTTAGTTTCCTCCACTAGATGATGGAGCAGAATGCTGATGACGAGAACTACTACTCCAATCAGGCTGTTTTGGTAGGCCAAAACTCTATGAATTAGCTTCAGAATATTGTATAATCTGTTATTGTGCTTATCCAGGGAGACCCCACCTACGTGCCCATCAGATCGCCTCATCAGGGAGCCCCATCTCCTGGCAATGGCACCTCCAATTCGCTGTCCGGCACCGAAAGCGATGACTCCAGTGTGCGGAGTGTGCGCTTCAGTAAGATGGCTGAGGTCAGGGAGATGTCCGCCCATGAGGCCACCGATGCCTTGATGGCCCGGCTCTCGTATGCGGCCAGTTTGAGGATTAGGCGGCAGAAGACCCACCACAAGACGGCCAAGACGGCGCTGCTCTTCTGCCTGCTCTGGTTCGTGGCCAACTACTTCTTCCAGTTGGCCCTGGAAATGGACGAGACGGCCATGATAACGCTGGTGAGCTCAACGTCGTCGTTCTTCACTATCTGCCTGTCGGCTGTGTTTCCCTCGGCAATGGGCGATAAGCTAACCATCACCAAGGTGATTGCCGTGGCCATGAACATTGGCGGCGTGGTGGCCATCACCATCAACGATCTCCACGACACGAAGATGACGCGGGGCGTCCTTTTGGCCCTGTTCAGTGCGTTCTTCTATGCCGCCTATCTGGTTTTTGTGAAGCGAAAAAGCGATACGGAGGAAAAGGTCGATATACCTTTGTTTTTTGGTGAGCCAACTCGTTTAATTTCATGGTGATATCATGGCTTATTTATTGGCCTGCTTACAGGTTTCGTTGGTCTCTGGAATCTGCTGCTATTGTGGCCCATTTTCTTTATTCTGCACTTCACCAAGATCGAGACCTTTGAGCTGCCCAGTCAGGGTCAGTTTGCCCTGCTGTTCCTGAACGGTTTGATTGGCACTGTGCTGGCCGAGGCGCTGTGGCTCTGGGGCTGCTTTCTCACCTCCTCGCTGATTGGCACACTGGCCATGTCGCTGCAGATTCCGCTGGCCATCATGTTCGACGTCCTGCTGAAGAACAAGCCCTATTCGCCGATGTTCTACATGGGTTCACTGCCCATTTTCGTGGCCCTCATACTCGTATCGCTGCTGATGCGAAACGACGATTCCGATCCGCTAATGAAGCTGTTCAGGATTGTGTATAGAAAACTCTGCCGTTGCCATAAGCCAAGTATTGTGAGGTGAGTCTTTTATTCTGCCAAAATGAACTGCTTTTGAACAGGATAATTTCTCATGTAGGGTCAACGATGACGAGCAGCAGGAGTCGCTGATTAGCAACAGCGATTAAGCGGAGGCTTTTTTTTTGTGAAAATCGCGCTTCACACACTTTGAATGTTGCTCATTGCAATGCAATCTAAAAACTTGGCTGTTCACGAGTTCGTTTCGAATCGTTCTTTAATCTATAGGGACAAGTCTTGCACAATTCCCACTCGGCCCCGATTTGTGTTTCTCATTTGTGCATTTTCCGTTGGATATTACTATGTTGCGATCTTACGTACAACTATTTATTATAACCTTACAAGTGTATTCTCTGTAAATAGCTTTAGCCAACCACGAATACCGTTTATCTATGTGATAGTCTACAAACGTTTTGCTGAAGTCCACCTATAATTTATTGTATTTTCTCGGTACTCACACTGCGCTTAGCTGTATAATTGTTGACTTCTCAATACAAGATGGATATAAGAAGACACATACACATATTGATAACTAATAACAATAAATAAAACTTGTCTACCGTAAGCTTAAAAATGGGTTTGTGTGAAATCTGCCTAAAGCAATTATACATGGAAAACAGCATGAGTTGAGCTAAAGTTTCCCTTGATTTGAGTTTATCTTTCTATAATTGATAGGTTTTTAATCAGACATTTTATTTATGAACATAATTTGATTCTGAATCATATATGACTGATATGTTTATTTTAAACTAGTTACTTTAAAAACCTTCTTTAATTATTCCGCCTTGCAACAAATTAGAACTTATATTATTGAATTTGTTTATAAATAATAATTCTTTACTCAAAGTCACTAAAAAAATAACTAGTTTTGTTGGTAACTAGTTTATTCTATTGATTTGATCAAAGCCAAAGGTTTTGTTTTCAAAATTCGGCTATACTTTAAACACTACTGACATGTTTATTTTTAACTTATTAATTTATTACCTTTATTTACCCATTAAAAGACATAAATTCAATTTGATTTTAACTCACTCACTTTTCATTTAATTTTCATCCTAGACGCTTAAAATATGTATTTACATTAGCTGTCACTTAATCTCTACCGCTTAACTAGATATGTAGTACTCAATAAGATCACACAAGTTCATTTCTGTACTGAATGCGCACACAAACTGGCATCTGTGTGGCCCAGAGTGGCACGGCGAATGCTTCAGTTCCATTTCCCGGCGACTCCGTGTCTCCGGCGGATCACACAGCAGTTGGCGGAGGAGCAGGTGGCCCGCAGCCACCAGAGCTGGGCGCAATTTGTGCGGCTCGCGAGGTGGAGGGCTCCACGGGTTCCATCGCAATGACAGTGGCTCCGCCGGCGACAGTCGCCGCCTGAGGATCGGTCTCCGAGTACGGAGGAGCGGGCAGTGCCGCAATCCCAATGGGAGCGGGAACTTCGCCAAGGGGCGACTGTGGCGTCCCCGCTGCCGCCGCCGTGGGCGTGGTCAGGTTGCACATGCGCATCACCTCGTCGTAGCTGGGCAAGTCCTTCTCGTCCTTCTCCAGCTGGTCGCGGATGCGGTTGGCCTCCACGCTGCCAGGCTCAATGAAGAATATGTCGCCATAGCGGTTGCCAGAGGGTTCATCCTGCACGTTGAACACATTTCCCTGGCGGTCTGCAAGAAAGCGAAGGACAAAAAGGTGAGTATACGGGGAAAACAAGAATTGTATAAACTTAAAATTATTAAAAAAAATTATTTTTTATTGATGAATTTATATAATACCACTTTAACCAAAAATGGTTCAATTTAAAATACACCCAGAAAACTAAATTCCTTACTAAGGAATCATTTTGTCCTTAAATTAAAGTAGATAAATATAAAGAAGCCACATTCATACTGTAAATTTTGTCCAAACAATATAAATAATCAATCATAATAAGAAAAATTAAAGGTCACGTTAAGATCGAGTTCATCCTTTTGGCAACTAAAATGATTATACAAATTCAAGCGGAAGACACTGACACTCAACAGATAATCCATAACGTATTAAAATGTTATCAAGATCCAAAACCAATTTGTAGATTTTGTAAAAAAAATTTAAAATTTATACTCGTACATAAATTGCAAAATTGTAGTTTGAGGAACACACTCATTCTAACATTGTTTTGATGTACATTTCATCACTTTATCACAGTTGCTTAAAATAACACAAATATTAGTTAAGACACTCGGAATTTCTTGCTGATAAGGCACATTTGATGACCGATTTCGGTGATATTATTCCCAATGTTTAACATTTATATATACACAGTACCAGCTTCTATTTGACGACGATTGCGAGTCAGCGAGTCGTGCATGCGCTTGGCCAGCTATCGAATGCAAAACGAATAGAGAAATCAGTTATGGGGCATTATAATTGTGCTGGCTGAAGGTCTGCCTTCTGCCTATGGATAATTACGTATATCAGCTGGGCCACGACAAATGTGGCGAACACAAAGCCCAGAGCCACGCTCAGATTAGCAGTTAGACCCATTCCGCGATCCTCGAAGACTGTGTGCTAAATAGTAATCGCCTCCAATACAACCGATTAGATAGGCTACCGCTCCCTCCATCCCTGCCCACTTTTGGCACACGTTACCAATTCCAATGTCGTATCGCTGCCGATTCCGACTCCGATTCCGACTCCGATTCCGAGATCGATTTCGAGTCCGATTCCCATTCCGGCGACTCTGCTGACGTCGACATCGTGGCTGACAGATCTTGGCCAGAGTTTGGCTCTCCACGCGTATGTAGTAGCAGGCCAGGGGTATGAGGCAGAAGAAAAGGAACACCAGGGCCATGTAGATGGCCACCTGCAGTCCGAAGTCACTACCCCAGTCCATGGTGGGCTCAGATCCGTGCATTGTATGGTAGAAACTCAGAACGACGCGACGAACAGTCACCAACTACGTTTCCTGGGGGCCCTAGTATTGGCCATAGTTTGCCGTTTGGTACGCAATTGATTAGTCGCCCGCGATTAGATTGTCCGCCATGTTTGGCTGGCCATATAGCCCATAAACGTTGCTCTGCTCCATTTATCAGATATACACACAATATATACGAGGGCCCATGCCCAGTCAAAAGGCAGTGCAACTTACATAGCTCAAATCGGGAGTTTCGACGTCTGGCGCAGCAAAATTTCAAAATCCAGATGACAGCAAATTGGAGGGCTGCATAGGCCACAAAGCCAATGAGCAGCAGTACAAAGAAAGTGACCAGGGGACTCGCATCCATTGTGCATCGAGCTCTCCAGCAGACTGACCCCCCAAAAACTGATTTGCAATATCTGCAAGGCATTTGGCCAAAGAGACCCTTATCGCGAAAGTCCACAAAACAAACACTCCAGGCTTTATGGATTTATAGGAGCACTTGATCATCACCCACTCACTCGCCCGCCCACTCACACACACTCGTCTACAGCATATCAATTGCTCAGTATATCAGTTCATCAATGGGATTGATAGATTGATATGCGTGCTCATTAATATTAATACATATTCGGTACATACCAATGCCAACCATGCGACGTTCACGTTGACGTTGTCGTCGACGTCGTCGTCTCATTGGATCCTGAAATCCCCGAGTATCGCTACCACAGCATTTGTTCAAACAAACCCATAGTATAAACTTGGAAGGGAAAATTGGGGCTAGTCAGTGATCGGAAGGGTAAGCAAGCCTATGCCCCTCGCTTAAAGTCTTTAGATTATTATAATTTTCAAAAAGAAAAAATATTTAAAGAGTTCAAAAAGAAATATTAGAAATAGACAAAGAAAAAACTGATTGATTTAGTACATTAAACATAAAATGTATAATTTCAAAATTTTATAACATTATTTACCATGTTGTTTTGTCAAAGAATCAATCGCAACAACCATAGCAAATTTATAATATTGAAAAGCATATTTCAGCAGTTCAAAAAGAATTCCTTCTATAACATCTAAATATAGGCATAGTGCATAAAACATTAGACTTATCATATCAAAGTTATATATCATTATTTAACATATTGTTTTGTAAAAGAAACTACCGCGAAAACCATTTGAGCAGTTCAAAAAGAATTCCTTCTAGACTAAATATTACAAAAATGTTCTATATGCAAAAAAGAAGATTTACTTTTGGAAAAAAAGCTTCAATCCGATTGATTTAGTACATTATACATACAACCTATCATACCAAAGTTTTAAATCAATTTTTAATATAATGTTTTGTCAAAGAATCAACAGCGACAGCCATAATAACATTCCTATTTTTAGGAAATTACTTATTTCCTCATTTTAGATAACTTTCGTTGGCAAATATAGTTGATAAGGAAGTTAAGCAATGAAAAACAAGCGACTAAGCGAGGGACAGTTGCAGGACAAGGCCAAAAAAGATACCTGCAGGGCGAAATAGACCATGGGCATGATCAGGAAGAAGACGAAGAACAATCCCACATAGAAGAGAAAGAAATCCATTGTGATAAACTCGCGTCAACGCCAAATGCACAATCGAATCACTTGAGAGGCGACTTTAAACTGAGAACTCTCCAGAGCTAAATTCAAACTAATCTTATCTGGGCCAAGGCAACCAAGTATCTGTGTATATATATGGTGTATATACCCTCCGATAGCCGCCCAAAATAAGTCGAAATGACTTTGTTTTGGTTGCACAGAAACCTACCATGTCTTCGCCTGCGAATCCTGGAATTCCTGGCCTCGAAGCACACCCAAATGCAGAATCTCAGGCAGCAAAAGGTGACCGCGCAGGAAATGAAGGCCAGAAAGAAGAAAACCAGGTAGGGCGGTACGTTCGACATTTTGGGATCGGTATTGGGATCGGTATCGGTAAAGGCGGGTTATCCACGTGGATATGGGAGCACCGGCGGCATTATAATTTCGCTCCGTGAAGAGGCCTCAGGCCAACTGTCATATCATAACGCGCCGCTGGCTTTTGGCCAAGACTTATCGGCGACTGGTGAAAAGTTGGGATGGGAAAAGAGGGAAAAGAGGCGGTGGTGTGAACAGGTGTGTCAAGGGCCATGTGATAAGCGCTCGGCGAACAAAGTCCGATAAGATAGGCTACCTCTGTCTCCCTCTGGCGTTCAATTAGAATAGAAATGGTAAATGTATCTGTATATGTATCTGACAGATATACGCATAATTGCGCTTTGAATAATGTCAGACGAGCACGTGACTTGCAAAAGTCTACGAAACTAATTAACCAAGGATTATTAGGAAATCCATATACAAACAATATTCATTATCAATCATTATAAATTCAAATAAATGCAATTTTGCACATTCTTTTAAAGTTTATAACACAAAATAATTTCAATTTGAATTAACTTTTCTCTCAGTGCTATGAACAATATGATTATCAAATAATAAGTATGAAAACAGATAAGATAAGATACCGAATATTTACATTAGGAATTATTTACTTTAAAATCAAATATTTTTACCTTTAGATTGTTGTTTTTAAAACATTTATTTGAATTTATTTTAATGCGGAATTTCAGGAAATAATAATTATTATTGTTAATATTATGAATTTTTTAAAATTTAATATTCTGTCTTTTTATTGCACAAAAAAAATAACTGATAGTATTTTTAATATTACGTATACGTAACTTAAAGGCGTATGCGTAATCAGCTCGAAAGCAGTTTCTTTAAATGTGTATATTTGTTCATTTAAATTCCAGAAAAATAAGTTTTCTTGTTGTCTAGCTTCTTTTAAAAGAGCAAATTTTTTGTCGTACGTTAATTGTAAAAACTTAATTGTTAAACCATCAAAATCAAATGCTAGCCAAGCGTGGAAGCGCGAACATAACACAATTTTTTTATTAATTCAAAGCGTTTAAATTGTGGCCAGACAAAAGAACATATTTTTGAAGGCCGGAAGAACCTTTTCACCGCGAATGCGATTGCCACAAATCAAAAGGGGACCACCTGAGCTGGCTCACCTGCTGTCCAGCTGAGTCGACTACTCAATCCCGGCGACGAGGGGCAGGAGGAAACGAATCTGCTCAGTGGCGGGCTAACCGGCGATCTTCGACGCCGCTTCTGGGCCACACATCTCTGGAATTATCTGTCGGTTACACTCCCGTTGGGTGTTTTTTTTTGTATACATATTTTTGGCCCATAACTCACACTGACAGAAAAGTAGAAAATCAACACGAAGAAGAGCAGCAGGACACTGAACTCACTCCAACGGAACTGGTCATCCATTTTATGGAACAGAGACACTTAGCTACAACATTGCCGACCTGCGTCCGCGCATCTGAATACATTAATTTTACTGCCGACCATTTGGAGACCAACCAACCAACCAACCATTCAACCATTTGACCAATCGATAAGCACAGCGAAGAACGAAAAATAGATAGCTTTATCGGGAAACGCTTGTGACTCATGGCTGCTCACCTGTGTTCAAGCTAACTCCTGACGGATCGATTCTATAGCTCTGAAGCACTCGTCCTGGTTGTCGGCGCGAAGGACCACGATCACTGGCGGTGCTCTGACTAGGAACCTTCTGCCGGGCGCAAAGACAACAAGCCTAAAAGTTGATCAACAGTAGATCACTCAATATCCAGAGTTTTTCAAGCAAAATCTTATTACAACTTACACGAATCAGGATCAATATGATCGAGATTATAAGAAACCAGCCGATCATCATAAAAGCGTAATAGACCATGATTAAATTGATTTAATCAAATTGAATGAAAACCGGAAGTCTGGTTGAGAATATACAATTTTTCCACCGTTCGCCGTGCACAAGAAACCTTGCTGAAATGGCAAAGGCAACGCCTGTCATCGCTAACAGCCTAATCACCAAACAAAACCAAATCGAACACAGCCCTTATCAAAAGATGGACAATTTTGCGATTAAAACTTGGCACATACACGCACATTCGACACAATCGGCATAATGGATCGTGCTCGAAAACTTACGCACCTGGGGATACGCCCCCACCGATATAGCTTTCGGTATCGTAATCCTCGGAGTTAATGTTTTTCCTGCTTTTGTAGCATAGCTGTTGGACAAAGATCATGATTAACATCATAAAGTACTTTTCAAAATCAGGAATATAACTCTTGATTAAAATGGTTGAGTTCTTGAATTGTACACCGTAAAAAGATATAAGAAATTCTGAGAATACATGAAACATTTAACCTTTTTTCAGGTTAAATGAACTGAAAAATGATAAAGCTAAAGTCTAATCTCTAAATCCATTGTTTGGTATCGTTGATCGAAAAATGGGACTTACGCACCTGGAGACACACCTTCCACGTGACTTTCATTAATGGAATTTCCACATTTAAAATATTTTCTGCTATTGGTGCACAACTATAGAGCAGAAAATTGTTTAAAATACAAAAAACTATCTTTTAAAATCAGGAATATACCTCATGATTGAAGACTTTTTAGGTAACATATTAATATAAACTTTATTTGTCATTAAAGTATGCTAGAGGGTTTTTAATAGCTTATTTCTCTCTTTTTTAAGGGTTCTCAACTAATTTTTTTCTCAATTCTTGCAACAAAGATTGCTTGATGTTTGATTGATATCTTGCTCTACTCTTCCCACTTTTTAAGGGAAAGACCCTCGCCATCAAGAATATATTCCTGATTTTAGAAGTGTCAACTCACAACGAACACCAGGAAAACTAATAGAGCTATGTAGAAAATGTCGATCCCATCCATCATTTAAGAGCACCGCACCGAGTAGAGTCTGCGATGGATTAACTTGGACTGGCGGTAATTGGCGAGCAACGACGTAGAATGCCATTCAAGTTGTTGGCTCATATCTTAGCATTTTGCTTATTGCTACAAGGCAGTTAACCCCCCATCGAAGAACATTCACTATCTTATCGGAGCAGAGCTTTCGCAGCTTTTTTTTTTGCAAAGTGATAGGGGCACTGAAACCTGGATCTTACCCTCCATGGCCACTCGCAACATCATCTCGTGGCGCAAGAGGCGGGCATACACCCGCATGTTCCACTCATCGATCTTCAACTTGATAAACAGATAGCACTCCTTGGGAGGGTATTATTATGTGAAATATTTTATCAAGGAAGTGGGAGTCGGTGGAACCTACCCGAGCGACAAGCGATACGACGATCAGCAAGATAAAGCCAAAGAACCAGATTTCCGCATACATTGGATTCTAATAAGCACTTTTTGATATTCACTTTTCTAGTTTTTCACATCATAATTTGGATGATTTGACTAATGGAAGCGGAGTTACTTTATACAGTCTTGGGTTGAGCAAACTCACCAGTTTCCGTCGTGTATTGCAGACAGCACACGCACTTCCACTTGTGATTGGGGCAGATATAGGACTTGAGAAGAAGTCAATTAACCACAGATCGGTGGAAGGATAAGGCCAAAACTCACCCTGATCAGAATGAGGAATATCAGAAAAAAGGACAGGAAGTAGTAGCCCTCAACGAAATCCATTTTGAACCGATTCTGGGAGAAGTGCAATGACAAATGAGCAGCCACCCACGGGATAAGGAAAACAAGCCCCGGGCACAACTGTGATATAGCTCTTACGATAAACAGAGATAAAGTCGGCGTTGCATCAACCAGATAAGCAAATCAGAGCTAATTATAACCAGAGACAATAAAGCAGGCATGTGCGACCAGTTACGTTTCGGTTATCAACTACTATAACTCGCTAATCCTATTTGTATATTTTACTAGCCCGGCTCACCATTACGTGTGTCGATGGTCCTCTCCGTTCTGGCCCTGTAATCCCTCATTTGGCCAGCTCTCTTGGCCTTGTGGTATGCATTCGAAATGAACTAATTGGAGAGGGAGGGGAATAAAATCCTGTATTGCCTTCTTCCGGATCAAAGTTCGCCATTAGCTACTTACGACTATTAATATTATGGTGACTAGTAGCACCACGGAAAAGGAACTCAATCCGGCGCCCATGGCTTTATCAATTCGCTCGGGACAAATGCCTGGTGACAACTGACTAGCCATCGAAAGCTATCGATTTCGGAACCCACCTATTTCGATTGCCCATTATTCATATCTTATCACCGTATTACCTTTTTTTTCGTAAACACACTTACCTCCGTTTGGATGCCTTCTGGCCGACGAAATAGCCACCTGTTGGTTAAATACATGTAATAAGTGTCTTCTGTAATCCAAAATTTCAACTAACCTTGATGAAAATGCAGGCTGCTGCGATCAACATGAGAATGACAATGTAAAAATCTGCGGCCATTTCGGTCTTCTATGTCCCGAATTTGATGAGTGCGAAAAGCGAAATGAAAGCGTGTTCTCCAAATCGCAGATGTATGGAGCAATCGAACGCGACAATATTCCGTTCCACATACTTTAATCGCTCTACGCTAACTGCCGATTATAACTTATCGGTCAAAATTAGATTAGATTAGAACAATCAAATATACCGAGCTCTGGAATACCCTACGGGAAAAATGAAGTTATAATATATTAATATTTAGAAACAAGTAACATAGTTTATACATTTTATGTAAGATAGTGTTAATGTAAGTATGTCTACAAAGTTTCAAAATAATTTAAGAAAATACATTTAAATTTTAAAAGTCAATTTCGGGCTTAAAAGGAGCGATTGTGAAAAAGACTTATTGGGAGACAGTTAAAAAACTTAAAAAATACATACTACTCAAAATCATTAGAAAATCACCAAATCATCTGTTTAAAATTAAACCATACGAATAAAGGGTATGTAATTTTTCTAGGAATCGGAAGGCAGATTAAGGTTCAGTGAGTCTCATTGTGTGAGTCCCCCCATAAAACGGAAATTCTTACTTTTCGAACAGCAAATGTCTACCCTTGGTATAAAGACCTTGAACAAGAGTGTAATCAAAGGTATTGTTTACTAACAGACTGGAAGCTAGATATCAAGAGTGGTGAAATAGGTCTGTTGTTCAGAACTCTTCCACTAACCGTGCAAAATCGGAACTCTCCCACCTCACTAGTAATTGAAATGCCGAACTCTCCCAGCTGAAAAACAAAGTCATGATCTTTTTTATTGTTTCCCTCGCATTGTACTCGAATGGTCATCGCAGAGCAATTTCAGATTTCAAGTTCACAGTGGCAACAAGACCAAGAAAAACAGAAACAAAAATAAAACGAGAAAAACCCAACTGCGACTGACCCATT